CACACACACACACACACCTGGAGATGTGTCAGTCTTTATCAGTCATCATTCAGAGCATGAATTCAGTGGGAGGACCAGATGCTACAGTCGATGGCGGCTGCAAGCTGCGTCAGGTCCTGAAAACACACTTCATTTGTTAAGCAGCCATGATGATGCCAGGTTGACACACTTTTTTTATATTTATGTATATCTGTAACCCTTTTTCATATTTTAAAGTCAATTTCTGTTTCCTATTCATGCTTCTTAACTTGCAGCGCCCAGTTTTTATAGAGGCACATTCCTCAGATGTGAAAACCGGCTTGGCAATAAAGCTGATTCTGATGTTAGGATATAGTGGCGGTAGATATCGAGATGATACAATGTTCTTATCATGAAAACTACAAACAAATTAGGTTACAAATGCAACAAATACTCACTTTCAATCAGCCACAAAGTGATGGAGCAAACACTGCTCTCTGGTGGACAAACTATGTAATTGTTGTAATTGTATGTACACATAAAAGGCGTTTACTGCACGTCCAAGTCTCTCATGACGCCTCATATGAAAAAGTTGCGTTATAATTACAACCTCAACCCCTTTCACGCATCTTGTTTGTCCACCACATTTGGTTATTTCTTCCTTCATTTGCTCTAGTCTGTGTTGGCTGAGTGATGTACTGATGTAGTTTCTCCTCCGTCTCTGCAGTAAGGAGCTGACGGCTGATGCCAGGGAGCTGAAGGGAGAGCTCTACTGTCTGCCCTGCCATGACAAGATGGGCGTCCCCATCTGCGGGGCCTGTAGGAGACCCATCGAGGGCCGTGTGGTTAATGCCATGGGCAAGCAGTGGCACGTTGAGGTGCGTGGTTAAACTGTACGACTTTTAAAAACATCCTCGCTTACCTGAAGCTTAGGAGAAACTACTTAAAGGTCTACGTTAGATTCAAACTTGCATTGAAGAAGATGATTATGCTCATTTGTTGGGTATTGAGTGCCAGATTGGTTCCAGATGTAGTTATGAATAGTGTCTATGTTCTGTTTCCTCTGCTTTCTACAGAGAAACAGAACAGACGTCTCTGAAACAATAACTCTTTAATTTGCTGTAAAATGTAATTTATTTGAAATTGTACACACGCTATTTTAGAAACTGAAAGTAACGTCACTCTGGCCTTTGTTTTGTTCTGTCTGTCCTTTTTTTTTTATTCATTTCAATCCTTTGAGTTCACTTTAATATGTGCCATATGTGTGACTCATACTTTTACCAGCTTTATCTCCACAGTTGTTCAGTGCTCTCCATCTCCGAGCCGTGTGTATCGTTCCTCCATTATCCGTCTGCCTCTTTGTTATTTCCTCTCTGCCGTCATCCCCCCTTCCTCTCTTCATCTTTTCTTCTGTCCATTCACATTTTATGGCCCTTTTCCTGTCTCTCCTCCTCCACGTGTAGCATCATGTGTGCACTGTGTGTGAGCGGCCCTTTCAAGGCCACCCATTTTATGAGCGAGGTGGTCGTGCCTATTGTGAGAGACACTTTGACATGGTGAGGGGATTATGGATCGGCTTGAAGTTGATTGCTGCCCCGTGTCTCACTTCTCCATGCATTGATAGATTGATCTCCCAGCCTCCATACAAGGGTTACACTAATGTAGAGTTCCACAGTATATCTTCACGTCTTATAGGCCTGTTTGCTTTAAACCTTTGTCTTGATCATATTTTCAACCCAGTTACCTCAAAATTAGTTCTTTTCGTAACTCCACATTTATGTTGCACTGTATTGTTAAATAGTATTACATTTAACTAAAAGAAAGCTACCTGAGATAAGAACATAATCATCTTACTGTATCTTAACTTATTTTAAGCTCTGAAAATAGTTTTTTTTCATTCTGACTTTACAATTTCATCAGTCAAAGAAAAAATATAATAAAAGACATAAAATTTGAGTATCTAATATGTTTGTTGATCCAAGATATAATAATGAATGTACTCACACAGCAGCAAACAGGATTAAATGGGTTGATAAGGGTATCTGAAGAGTTTTAATGTCTGGTGATATCTAGTGATATCTGGATTTTTACACACTACAGGAATAAAATTATGGACAAAATCTGTTCTTTATTTTATTTAAAAACATTCAATTTTGGCAGAAAAAACTGTCCAGCAAACCCTTCCATCAAAATCACCTTTCGTTTTAGCTTCACAAAACCATATTAGTGTAACCCTGCTCCGTCATACTCACACACAGCTCCTCATTCAGTTATTTGTGAGGGCTTAAATGGGCATTATAATAAAAATAGTGTACGTTCCCCTTTAATACCCTACCATTAACTCCTCACATGTCTGTTTGGAGGATTATTACGCCCTCTAGAGTTCACTCTGTCCATCTTCCCTACTGCCTGTACTCTGTTTTGGATGCAGTAACAGGACATCTGGACTGAACTGATCTGGTTGTGGTCTGAGCTGATAATGTCTGAGCCAGACTGCGTTGCTGCCTGAATGTGATAATGTACTGACCGACGGCTGTGCTAACCATGTGTGCCTGGCCGTGCTTCTGTTTGCAGCATTTTGTGTGTGCTAAGTGTGAGAAACCCTTCCTGGGACACCGTCACTACGAACGCAAGGGCCTGGCCTACTGTGAAACACACTATAACCAGGTAACACTCACCAGTATTGGGAATGTTTATGAATACCAAGAGACGTTTAAACATCCTGCCATGTTCTCCCTGTCGTGGGATTTTCCCTCCTCTGGCTCCATTTATAGTATGCAAGTATCTAAAATATGTGATAACTGATGATGGCCACAGTTTTTCAGTCTATAATATTGTACTTAAATGCACGATGTTGATCAGTTTTACAGTTAATCCTCACTTTGATATGCAACAACTGGCAGATATTTGAATATAAAACATAAGAGAAAAAACTTTTTGGAGATGCCGCACACATACTGGTATATATGAGATAATCTGTAGTCTCACTTTAGTTATTTTCTTTGTTTCTGCAAATGTTTAGACACATATATATCAATACAAGACTACATTACATACATTAGCATCAACAAAATTACACTCAAGAAAATGTTGACCTAGTTACAATTGACTACTACTTGTTTTTTAAAAGTACATTTGAATAATTCAATAACATGAAAAAGAAAGGTTTCACAGTGAAATGTGTATTTTATTTGACTTCAGACTCTAAAGAAATAACTTTAAACAAGCTCTACACTTAGTGTTAGTGTTTGTAGTCAACACAATACTTTTGCTTCCAGGGAAGTTTATAAAATACCTCAGTAATCTGTGTTTGTTCGCATGCTTCGTGAACACAGCATTTTATATGAGCCATGATAGAGACTGCCAGAGCTGCATTGTGTCACATACTTTCATAACTCTTTGATTTAACTCTGACTCTTTGTTTTCTCTCCCCCTCGCCACACTCAGCTGTTTGGAGATGTTTGCTACCACTGCAATCGTGTTATTGAAGGAGATGGTGAGGAAAACTTGTTGTGATTGAAAATACATAATGTAGTGGTGATAATGTCGCTCATTGAATTGAATTGAATTGA